ATCTATCTATCTATCTATCTATCTATCTATCTATCTATCTATCTATCAACCTACCTATCAATCTATCATCTATCTCCTATCTATCAATCTTTCTATCCATCTTTCTACTATCAGTCTATCAATTCATCTATCATCTACCTATCTATCATCTATCAATCTATCCTCCATCTATCTATCCATCTATCAATCCATCTATTTACCTATCAATCTATCTATCCATCTATCTATCAATCATCTATCTATCCATCTATCAATCCATCTACCTATCATCTATCTATATCTATCAATCTATCAACTATCAATCTATCAATCCATCTATCAATCCAACCTATCAATCTATCATCTATCACCTATCCATTTTTCAATCTATCATCTATTAATCTATCAATCCATCTAACCATCTATCAATCCATCTATCTACCTACTTACCTATATATCTATCATCTATCACCTATCTATTTATCTATCTACCTATCAACCTATCACCTATTAATCTATCACCTATCTATCAATCTATCATTTATCTATCTACCTGTTTATCTATCATCTATCTATCACCTATCTATCTATCCTTCTATTTATCATGTATCTATCAGTGTATCTATCTATCTCTGTTTCTGACTTGGCTTACATATTGGTGAGTTTTGCTGAACCATTTCCACCCACCCCCCTCCTCCTTTTCATTCTTTGTTACAGTCCCCATAATATTGGAGATGTCTCTTTGAGAAGGGGAAGTAGGAGGAATATATTGAGAAACAAAGGTGGTATAAAAATAAAAGATATTGATAAAAAATTAAAAAGAAACAAGTGTCTTGGATTGGTGCTCTCAAGCCAATAGCTCTCCCCTCCCCCCAACAGCCTTTAGAGTTAGAATCTAAAACAGCCCACTGCCATTGAGTCCTCTCTGATGGGTCAATGGGTCTGATGTAGAGAGTGACCTTCTCAAGTCGTATCCTCTGAACTGGTGTCAGATCAGGATGTCAATTCTGGAGGTACCCATGGGTCATAAATACACTTTTCCCCCATCTCCACAGCTTTCCCTGGTTTTTTACCAAGACAGACCCTGAGTAATTTCAGCTCTGATACTTACAGCAATCCCCAGTGAGAGGACCAGACTAGATCAGAGATTCTTAACCTGTGGTCTATAAACTTGTTTTTAAAAAGTTCTGGTAACTGTACTTCAATATAATTTATTTCCTTTGTAACCCTATGTATTTATTTTATGCATTTAAAAATTGTCTTCTGAGAAGGGTCCATAGGTTTCACTAGGCTGTCAAAGAGGTCCATGGCACAAAAAAAGGTTAAGAACATCTTCACCAGATGATCATTAGGGTTTCTTCTAGCTATGAATCCTAGGTTGGATCCTAACAGGAGGAAGAACCCTATCTGTTTCAGAAATATGTCCAGTAGTCTGGGGTAAATTAGTTTCTGGGTGACTATGGACTCTCATATAATCATTGAATATCAGAACTAGAATTCCTTCATTTTACAGATGAGGAAACTGAGGCTTACAGAAGTTGTCACTTGTTCAAGTTCATACAGTCAGTAAGAAAGCTGGCATATGAACCCTAGGTTTCTTAACCCAAAACGATATTCTTTCTATGACACCACAGAGATAAGGAAATGGAGGCCCTCTCTGGGCAATTACAGGAGAAGTAATTTGCTGATGCTCACACATCTATTTAATGCCAGAGCTGGGACTAGAACTCAGGTTTCCTGATGCCCAGTTTAGGGATAAACTAAACTTTTGCATATCCTGGAGGATATGCCCCTGGCAAGGGAAAGGGGGAGTTTTCAAAATCCCTTTGGGGCCATTAGGGTTTTGCAGGTTCCTAGTCCCCAGCCCTGGGGTGAGGAAGGGCCTAGCAAGTAGACACACACACACACACACACACACACTCTCTCTCTCTCTCTCTCTCCTTTCTCTCTCTCTCTCTCTGTGTCTCTCTCTCTCTTTCACCAGCTCTTGCAAAGCTCAACAGACAGTCTTGGCCTGGCCGGCTGCCAGAGTCAGGATTGAGCCAGCTGGCCCTGCCTGGGCCCTGCTGACTACAAGAGTAAGACAAGCACAGGATCCAAGTACATGGTGTGTGGAGGGAGGGAGGGGTGGAGGTTGGCGGGGCAGGTGGAGGTGGGGGGTGTGCATCTTGATGGCTGAGATGGGGGTCCATGAGAGAGTCTTGTGTCCAGACAAGTCTCATGCTCCTCCTGATGCCCAGTGGGGCGAGGAGAAATAAATCAGGCAGTGGTTCTCAGAGTGGGAGGAAGAGTTTTTAAATTGCATGCTTCCACTACCCTCCCTCCTTCTTGGTTAATGTGGAGACTTAGCTCTGAGCAAAACCAGCTGTGTTTTGGTTTAGCCTTTTCCCGACTCACCAGGTAAAAAGCAAGTGCCACAATAATCCCTTATACTCATATACAGCCTTGTACTTTCCAAAGTGCTTTTCCATCCATTATCTTCTTTGATCCTTACACCAACCCTGTGAGGGAAGCAGGGCTTAGATTATCACCCCCATTTTAGAGATGAAGAAATTGAGGTCCCAGAGACAACAACTGTCTTGTTCAACAGTCACACAATGAGTAAGCGGCAGAGTAGAATTGGAATGCA